CAGAAATGAAGAATAATTCAGGAAACCAAAGTCTAACTATAGGATTTATCAAAAAGGAAAGTCTTCAGTCTAATCTTAAAAGCAGATAATAAGTTCTCCACCACAGTCTGCTTGAATACTCACTCAGGTCCACTCGTAATACAAACCTTTGTTGAAAATGATGCAGTTTTGAGCATCATGATGCAGGTAAATGTCTGAAGGGGTTGACACGTATGTAAAGAACCAATAACTATTTGAATTATAAGTGTTTGTCAGAGGTGTTTTCTAGCTTTTCATCAGCCTCTTTAAAGGAAACAAACATGCCACTCATGTAAGCTAAGAACAGAAAACTGAAGCTACAGCTCATAAAAACTCAACAAAATTGGACAATGAAAGATTGTAAAATATTGTCTGGCCTGATGAATTCAGGTTCCCTGGACTCCAGTGAGATCTCACACCCATCGATCACTTTTAGGATTTGATGGTACAGGAAGTTTATACCATGGAAGTGCAGCTGACAAATCTGCAACTGAGTGATTCTTACATTAAAATGTTTCCTTCTTGAATCTTTGCTACACATAATTAAGACATTCCTAAAAACAATATGGGGTCCAACCTGGTCCTAGCTAAGTGTACTTAATAAAGTGGTTTGTACTGTGCTGTAGCCAACCTCCCAGGACACAAGAAGAAATGTGACAACAGGTTGATCAGACTGACAGTTTAGACAGAAAAAAACAAGGAATTAATCCAAAACCACTTCAGATGAACTCCATCATGTTCTGATCACATCATCTGTCACATTTTAAATCCTAATGGGCTCCATGGAAGAATACCTCCACTGATGACAAAAATAAATAAAATAAAAATTAAAACCTGAAGATATTTTCACTAAAATTCACGTTTGTCAATTTTAATGATTCAATGAGAAATTTCTGAAACAAATGAAACAAAACTGGAGCTTTAGGACTCCATACATATCAGATTGTTTTTATTATTAATGTGGAAAAAGTACCAAAAGCTGTATCTGCATCTGTCACAATGACTTTGACATGTACAGATATAAAATAATTGAAATGAATTTTCTTTACCTTTCTAGATGCTGTCATGACATCAGAGATGTAAATCTGCTGCAGCTGACAACGAGCCCACCTTTATCCTGACACAGAATTGTTTTTGATGATGTTTGTTGTGATGTTCACCTTTTCTAAAAGGATCTGATTGTTGTTTTCTGAGCTCCTTTCTGAGGAAAGACAGACGGCTGTTCTTCGCTCAGGCAGCTGATGTGGTGATTTATAGCTGCTGTCTGAAGCCTGACTGCACCAGCACTGTTCTGAGCTGAACTCTGCTCTGTTCAGAAATGTTCTCGTTCCAAACGTTTTCATGTACTGAATCTTGTCTGTAACACACTGTGACTTTTAAACAGAAATCAAAAATATACTTGAATCATCATCTTACATCAAAGGCTTTTAATAAACATTTTAATGTGGAACAGAAAGTCTTTTCTTGCATTTCTTTGTTCTTTATTATCCCCCCCACATACACACATTATATATACACTTACCGGCCACTTTATTAGGTACACCACGCTAGTAACGGGTTGGACCCCCTTTTGCCTTCAGAACTGCCTCAATTCTTCGTGGCATA